ACACCCTCATCACACACACACACACACACATCATCAGGATTGTTTTAAGACGAACGACACTTTGCAGAAAAGAAACAGAGAATTGCTGAAGCCTCTAATCCATTCCAGGTTTATCATCTCTTTAATTTGAATGTTTCTCTCTTTTTTTCGTATCAGTGTGAGCAACAGAGCCAGAGTTCTGATAGCTGCTGCTGGAGGAAACAGAACGGCGTTGACTATCATCTCTGACTGAGGAAGTTATTGAGATAGACGTATAAACAAGAAGTCATTACCGACTGATGGGCGGTGTTAAATATGTCGACTGAAGAATGTTGTGTCCAGTAATGAATTGATTTATCTTTAAGAGGAGAAGAAGAAGAAAACGGCAGAGAGGACGAATAAAAATGTTCTGTTGTTGTTTTTCTCAGTTTTATGTTAATATCAGTCCGTCTGAACAATAATGACGCCACAAAGAATTATTTGAATGAATTATTTGAATAAATCAAGAGATTATTATCATAACGTTACAACACAAACCGTGCACGGAAAGGGAAATTAAAATGTTCATATCTAGGAATTATTGTATTTCAAACTAGAATAAATCATTTTTTAAATAATTAATAGATTAATATTCAATTAATTTAGACTTTTCATACACACGAGATTGCATGGAATATATAATATGTTCACACTGTGACAGAAAACAAAAGGGTGATGGATAGAGGTAAAGATATATATGTATACTGTATATATATATGTATATATGTATCATGAAGAGATGGACAGAAGACACGAGGAAGAAGGAAAAAGAAAATGATGGAGAAACAGTGAAAGCTGAGAAAAAAGGACCGATAACTGTGGACGCAAAGGGACACAAATAAATCGATATTCTGTATGAGTGGAACACACCGGAGCGGATGCGTGTCCTCTTTAAATGAAACAGATCGGCAGTAACTTCTCTGAGAATAAGGCTAAAACATTGAGACTATTGTAAATCTATTTCCTAACCATGACATTGTCACACATTAACACCATCACATAAATATCATAAAGCAGTTTATTTCCACTAAAGTGGTTCATTCATTGATTGATTATTAGTCAATCAGCCTCATCACAGCCTCATCCATCTATTGTGTCTGAAATCTGAAGACTTAATGCTTTTCAATGTCACAATCAAATGATAATAAGCATTTTACAATATGTTGCAACATTCAGCAGACAAACGATGAATCAATTAGTCTGCAAATTTATCTGGGATGAAAACAAATGTCATCTATCAAAACTCAAAGCTTCTGTTATCTACGCATGTAAATACTTATCATTTACTATCGAGTATTTTAAGTTCATCAATGTATTGTTTGGTCTAAATTAGAGTTTCTAACGTCCGGTGTGACTTATTGCTGCTTTTGGACGGTCAGAGAGATTTTCAATGATACAAAACAGAGGGAAGCAGAAAATCCTCACATTGGAACCAACAAAAAGACTTTAAACATTGCTGCTGATCAATATTTCCTGTGTGTTGTTTCAGCGCTGCGGTTACGACGTAGAAGTCTCGTTTCTCCTGAATGCTCCTCAAAGTGCTGCTAGGTTACTGGTACACTCAGAAATCAGTTTCAGTGAAGCAGCGTGTCGCTTTGATTGTATTATGTAGTAATAATTAAACAAATACACAAAACAACAACTAATAAATCCAACACCCAAATACCAAAAAAGAAAAAGAAAAATTGAAAATAAATGAAAGATACTATAGATATTATGCAACACAAACAACGTGTTCTGCATAATGGTTGCAGTGTTAGTAAACGTTACCAAACGTTACCAAAAGTTACCAAACGTTACCAAGCGTTCCCAAACGTTACCAAACGTTACCAAACGTTACCAAGCGTTCCCAAACGTTCCCAAACGTTACCAAACGTTACCAAACGTTACCAAGCGTTCCCAAAAGTTACCAAACGTTACCAAACGTTACCAAGCGTTACCAAGCGTTACCAAGCGTTCCCAAACGTTCCCAAACGTTACCAAGCGTTACCAAGCGTTCCCAAACGTTACCAAGCGTTCCCAAACGTTCCCAAACGTTACCAAACGTTACCAAGCGTTCCCAAACGTTCCCAAACGTTACCAGGCGTTCCCAAAAGTTCCCAAACGTTACCAAACGTTACCAAACGTTACCAAGCGTTACCAAGCGTTCCCAAACGTTCCCAAACGTTACCAAACGTTACCAAGCGTTACCAAGCGTTCCCAAACGTTACCAAACGTTCCCAAACGTTACCAAACGTTACCAAACGTTACCATTAGATAATTGCATATTTAAACAGAACATTTCAATAAACTTGACATAAAAAATAAATCTCTTAATGTAAGTAATCAGCTGGGGAAGTTTCATGGTGATATATTATTATTACTATTCACCTGCAGTGTTGATACATGTCTTTAAATCTGCACTTCAGCAGCTCTTCCATCCACCAGACGCTACAGTTTATTCCTCTCTGTATGCTGAAGGTTAACACAGTGCGGTCTGTTCATACATCATCAACGTATTGCTAATAACACGGAGGAAATAGATTGATCTTTGTATTAAAAGAGATATAAAAAATCCAACAAAACATCTGCTTTATGTTCTGAAAATGTATGCAAGTTAGCCCATATTTGATAAGATAGTTCATCGTTTGCATATTTAAAATGAGATTTCAGAAAACTTGGGGAAGTTTGAAGGAGACATCGATGAGTTAAATCTTCGTCCTCTTCACCTGTAGTGTGATTCCATTCAGAGCTAGAGAGTCGTGGAGGAATGCCAACACTCCCACAGGAGATAACACCCTGTTCAGTTCCATACCAGCTAATACACTCATCTGTTTATGGCAAATGTCTGATACATGGGGAGCGTTGTGTATGAACAAGAACACATTAGCCAGGGACTCCAGTCCTGCTGTGACACGCAGGAGGAAGAGAAGAAGAAGAAGAGATGTGTGCTGTTGGGGGGTGGAGAGGAGGAAGGCGGTTAGTAGGGTTGTTAGTGGTGATGGAGAGACCGGAGTAGGAGAACGTGGATGGATGGAGGGAAGGAGGGAGGGGGAGGAAGGGGAGGTGGAGGAGGGGGGGGCTTGACGATAAGAGAAAAATTCAGACCGGTCAAAGTTTCCTTTTTGCCAATCGTGCTCCTGATAAAGACAGCGCCTGCTCCGGAGCTGATAGAGGGGCTATCTCTCTCCCTTACTCCCCCCTCCCTCCTCCTCCATCCCTCCGCCTCGCTCACCCAGCAGTTAGTTTGTGCGGAGAGGAAGGGAAAAAACAACAAAAAAAAGCGGACGGCCCTATCAGTGCAGCATCACGGTGCTACCATCAACCAGCCGGAGCGCAGCAATTAATATCGCTCCAATTACTGTTAAAGGGACGAGGCTGGGACAGCACGATAATGAACACATCCTCTCCTCCCCACCGTAGGAATTAAAACACACATGCACACACACACACATAAACAGACACCCGCGTGCAGACAGACATAAAACGTGCGCAGCTTGAAAAGGAAATAATGCGAGATAGTGCGGTAATCTTCTTGCATTGTTTAACTCATTGAAGACAACAGACAGAGAGAAATAAATAACCAAACAAACCTCGATAAGAGAGGAAATAAATAATAAAATTATGGCGATTTACTTGTTATCTCCTCTTAGCTGTGTGTGTGTGTGTGTGTGTGTGTGTGTGTGTGTGTGTGTGTGTGT